CCCCGAGCGCTTGCGCAGCTCCGTCTGCGGGAGCTGCAGCTGCGCGTGCGACGCCCGGCGCATCAGCGCAGGGATGCGCGAAGGCACGGGCGACGACGGGCTCGGCTGCGGGTGCTGGCGGTAGCTCTGTTTCAGGACGGGCGACGAGGGTACGTGGCGCAGCGTGTTGCCCTGCGGCGTCGGCGTCGGTGCTTGGCTTTGAGTTTGGTTTTGGCTTTGTAATTGCATGGTCTGCGAAAGGTGTGCGTACGACGAACGGCGGCTGAGCGAGAGGCGGGGAGACATGGGGGAAGGCGGGGGCAGCTGTCGTGGGACAGGCAAGGGCGCAGGAGGTTGCAGCTGCTGGGACTGCGTCCAAAGGGGTGCCGGCGAGATATGGCGCGTTATGGGCGATGCATATTGCTGTTGGTGCTGTTGCGCAGGCTGCGGGGGCGGGGACGTAGCCGGGCGATATGAAGGCAGATTGGGTGAAGGGGACGAGGGCGGAGGGGCAACGGACAGCGGCGAAGGCTTCTTCTTCCTAACAGGCGGGCCTGTCAGCACCACAGCCTATTTCAAAGGCGGAGGCGGCGGGGGACCGCGCGAACCGCCAAACGGCCGTCGCGTGCCGACCACACCCCGCCGAACCGCGCGCGCGCCTTGGCAACGGACGGCAGGTCGACGCGCGAACCAAAGGTCGGCGTCCCGCAGCGGCTGCTCGCGCGCTCGATCATCTCCATCTCGCCCGCCTCTGCGTTCCCGGCCCCGGCCATCCCGCCCACGCGTGGCAGATCGAAGAACGCGGAGCCGCTCCCGGCGCGCGCGCGGCGCTGCGGAGAGACGAGCACCGCGACAGGCACCGCGACGATGTGTCGGAAGAGCGACCCGGGCGCTTTAGTGACGCGCACGACCTTCCATCCCGCCGTGAGCGCGAGCGCGACGATTTCGCGCAGCGTGCGCTCTTGCCCGTTGAACGTCACTTGCATCTGGCAATGAACACATCGGTCAGCGTCCTCCAACTTATTTACAGGACGGAGAGAACTCACCGTAAGGTCCATCCAATAGGCGTTCGCGCTTGCCTTGCCGAGATTCGCGAGTAGCGGCGCGGGCGCGAGCATCTTCTCTGTGCCCTCGACCTGCACGTTTATCCCCTCCCCAACGCCGAAATCGTCTACGCACGCAAGCGGGAGCACAAAGTCCGCGAGGACAAGCTTCGTGTGCGGTGCGGCGGCTTCGCGCAGGCGGAGGAGGATGCGGTGCGCAAAGGCGTCGGGCCAGTCGTGGAGGACGACGCGAAGGAGAAAGACGGCGGCGTCAGTGAACGGTTGCGGGGTAAAGAAGTCGTGGACTAAACCAATTTTAGGATCAGGTTGCGTCGATACAATGAGGATACAAAGCGTATAGGAAAAAAAGACCCACCCTGAAATCGGACCGCGCCCGAGTCCAAGAGTTCCGGGCACTTTGCACGCCAGGCCTTCTCTCCCATCTCGACAACCACAGGCCGGTCCTGGATCACAATCGCAGACCGCCGCTCCCTGTTTATTAGTGTTAGTGTATTTCTCAAAAGAAAAGTAGGGAAGAGAAAGCTTGAAAGACTCACCATCCGCATCCACATCCGCATACGCGCTCGCAAGCAACATACTTGTAGACCCAATCCCACCGCCGACATCCACTGCCACACTACCGCGCGGAAGAGACGCCCAGTCGAAGCCTGTTGTGTGTAGGTCAGTGTCGCGAAGCTTTGAACAGAGAAGCAGAGGAGGAAGGAAATAATATAGCCAAGGCCAAGATCTCAAGAGCTCGTCGAAGAAACAGCAAACACTCACCATGCAACCCCGCCCCCGGCGCCTCCCAGCTCCCCGTCCCCGCCATCGCCTTCTCAAAGCGCTCCAGCCGGAACCGATTCGGGTACCCGCCTCCTCCTCTGTCATCTTCCTCACCTTTTTCATTCCTGCCCTTCTCACCATGCCTCCCCGCTCCCTCCTCCCCGCTCCCTCCCCCACCACCCCCGCTGCAGCGCCGGCACCCACCTCGAGCGAACGCCGATAAGCCTGAAAGCACGAAATGAAGCAATGAAGGGTCCCGACAGGGGAAAAGAAGGGTCAATGAGAGCGACGCGTGCGACATGAAAAATGACGCGTGACGGATGTGGACGTGGATGAGGGCCGCGGGGGCGAAAGAGGCGGGGAGACGGGGAGAGGGGAAGGGAGGCAAAGACAGTAGAATATGGTACGAGAAAGAAAGAAAATAACGAAAAAAAAAGAGTGCGAGAGCAGAGACGCGAACGTACTTTGCGACGAGCTCGCGCAGGGGCTTGCCTGAGTCGATGAGCGAGCTGATGCGGTTGGCGGCAAAGACGTCCGGCGCGGCCTCGCGCAGGATATGGTGCGTCGCCAGCAGACGGAGGATGTGGGCTGCCGCCGAAAGAAAGAATCTGTATCAGAGAGGAAGGGACAGGAAAAGGACGAGTACCCCACCAAGCTTCGCCTGCTCGACGCCCGTCCGCGCCGCAATCTCACGGACATGCACAGGCCCGTCGCGCAGGACCTCGACGACGTGCGCGGCCTCGAGGACGCGCAGGCAGCTGGGGAGGTGGTACCCCATGCCCGCGTCGCAGAGCGTCAGAAACGGCACCTGCACCGTCGCGGCCATCTGCCCCGCCGCCGCGACGATGCGGTTGATCGCTGCCACCACCGTCGGGTGCGCCGTGAGCTGCTCTGCGGCCGAGGCGGGGTCGTACGGGGCGTCTAGAGAGGGAAATTCGAGAGTCGAGTCGGAGTTGGGAGGAGTAGAGGTAGAGTACGACGAGGGCGACGGGGGCGGGCTTGCGTAGACACGCGAAAAAGAATTGGCCTTCTTGTGGGTCGGAGGCGGGTCGGCGGCAGCGTAGACGGCCTCGATGTCGGTGAGGGCGTCGCCGAGGATGGCGTGCAGGGCGCGGAGGACGGCAAAGGTCATGGCAGCGCGCAAGACACCCGACAGAGCCAGCAATAATTTAGTAAATATATTTGGCTGTCAAAAGATTCGATCGACAAGACGCGTCTTCTTATCGCGTTTTCGTCTCTTGGTCTGTGTTCTTCCAGATCCAATCGCCCGATACGCCCCGCGGCAGCGAATAACCCAGAATGAGACATTTTCTGAGGAGAAGACGAGAGACATATTTGCGTATGTTGAACACATCCTTTACTGACACCGCTCTTTCACTTTGCCTCGAGGCCCGATTCCGACGCTGTCGGCGTCCTTGAATGATCCATGACAGTGCTCGATACTCGCTTCAAGCTCAAATACATGTTCCCCTGCAACCTCTGTCGTGCTATCCGGGATTCGGCGGCCTGTTCGCGAATTGACCGCGCTGGTCCTGTGTCAACTCCTATAGGACCGTCCATCCGCAAGCAATTGCTATCCGGAACCTGAATGTGCTCCAGTACTTCGTTCGATTTGAACGTAGATTCCTTTTTATGCGCTGAACGGCTCTGCAACAACAATGCGCACCGCTAAACCTTCTTCCGCAGGCGAAAAAAAGCCACAGCAACACACTTTTATGGCTCGGACCTGATTCGAACAGGCGTCTTCTGCTTGAACTCATTGTCGTAACAGTACATGAGAGACAGACGTGGACCATCCACCACCGAACCTTTCCTGTCCCAATTTCAACCTGGATATGTCTTGCAATTTGAGCAGTTCAATGGAATAAAAAAAGCGCTGTAATTGTAATGGCTCAGGCATGAATCGAACAGGCTTCTTCGAACCTTTACTATCCCGACTTCAATCTCGATATACGCCGCAGTTTGAGCAGTCCGATTCACTGCATTCAGGCCGTTGATCGGCGCACCTTGCCGAGCTGCACCGCCATATGTCGCGCTTAGCCGAGGCGTCGCGACGGAGTCTGCCGCGATGATGTCGGCAGACCTACGTCGCGCTGTAGCGCGATAAGTCGAGGCGAGGTCGGCAGACCCTGCCGATCCTACCCTACCTGCACCTGCAGATTTTGTGAAAGGTCAGCACAATGTTTCTGAAGCTTGTCTGTGCTGTAAAAATGTACCCTGTACATCCTGAGTGCCTCGGCGAACCTAGTGCTGCGATACCGTAAGTTGATATTGACGGGAGAAGCCGTAGGTGAGATCATTACGGTAGCGCCCTGTAGCGCCTAGATCTCGGCAATTGTCTGCCGGCAAGAGCCAATTTGTGGCCGACAACAAAGTATAGTGTTCCAGAATCATTTCACACAATCTTTGAAGCAACTATGAGGTATTGCGAAGAATTTAAGAATTTATAACTAGGTAGGTGCAGCTCGGCAGACTCTGCCGACCTTGGGTCCACCGAGCTGAGCCGAGGCGCCTCGGACGCAGCATGGGCCGAGGAAGGGCCTGAATGCAGTGATTGTCTAAAAGATCCATAACCATTGACCAGTGACTCCAGGCTTCTTCTGCCTGAATGGTATGCAGCAAAATAGGCGAAACAGATGTGCGCCCGGTCGTCTCAACTTTAGCATGGATACATCTCGGTTTGTGTTCAATATTCTTTTTTTTTCGTCGCAGTTTACAGGGATGCTTCAGACCTCATTCGAACAGGTTTTTTCAGTACAGAGGAGAATATTCTGAAGCAACCAGAAGCAGATGTGAGCCATCGGCCACCGAGCGTTTCCGGACTTGAGAATATACCTCACACTTGGAGCAGTTTAGCGGCCAAAATATCCCGAATTCTGGACGGTGCGTGGCTCTGGCTTTATATCAGGCAAGCGCCTCCTGTCTAATCCCAATGGTCGGGCTAGCAGCAGCAACTTGGAATGTGAATCTCCACCACCAACCCGCTCCGGATCCGCGCTTCATTTCAGGCTCGCACCCCGTGACAAAACAAAGTATGTTCGAATCCGCCCAAAAAAATCTCTCTCGACGTTATTGGACACGACTCAGGCCTGATGTGAACACCACCACTGAGCCGTCCATGGCTGAATTTCAACCTGAATATCCTTTGCAGTTTTGATTCTGTTCAACGACCAAAAGAGCTCGAAACCTACCGCATGGCTCAGGCCTGATTCGAACAGGCTTCTTCTGCTCAATGGAACAAACGTGTCCACAATGCAACCAAAGACAGACGTGGATCATCCACCACTGAGCCTTTCCTTTCCCAATTTCAAGCTCGATATAAGTATACTGCAGTTCTAAGCAGTCCGATTATCCAAAAAATACAGCCATTGGTAACTGACTCGGATTTGAAAATTGATTCGAATAGACTTCTTTTGTTTCAACGGGACGGTATGCAGCAAAATAGGTGAAGCAGATGTGGACAATCAAGTACCGTCTCAATTTCAGCACGAATAAGTACACCCCGGTTTGTGTCCAAAAAAATCGTAACATCATTCAGAAATGGCGCAGACCTGATTCGAACAGGCCCTTTCCGTGCAGAGGAGAATGTTCTGAAGCAACCAGAAACAGAAGTCATTGGCCACCGAGCCTTTCCGTGCTTGACGTCTTCCTGATAATACCTCACTAGACCTCACTTGGAATTTGGAGTAGTTCAGCGGCCAAAATATTATTGATTCTAAACTCTTCGTGGCTCGGGCTTGATTCAAGATCGGGCTAGCAGAAACGAATGTGAACAGTCCACCACTAAGCCATTCCGCCCTTCATTTCAGCATGAATATAGGCTCGCACACTGTGACAAAGTATGTGCGAACGTTCGAAGTGCCAAAAAAACGCTCGTTCCTGCTTCCGCATGGCTCAGGCCTGATTCGAACAGGCATCTTCTGCTTAATGGAATAACGAAGAACGCCGTGATAAGTACCAAAGACAGACGTGGAAAATCCACCACCGAGCCTTTCCCCTCTTGTCCTCAGCTGGAGTATCCCTAGTCAGTTCAATAGCTCGAATTTTCTTCGAGGAATCTATCAATAGGCTCGGGTCTGACAGGTTTTCTTTCCGTTGAATAAGTACTGTAGCGGAATATCGCAGCAGATGTTGAACTATCCACCAAGCTTTTTCTGTCGAAATTTCAATCTGGACATATACTGCAGTTCTGAGCAGCTCGGTGGCCCAAAAAATATGTTCCGTGGTTATAGCTCAGGCCTGATTCGAACAGGCTTCTTCTGCCCAACAGTCAAGATGTACTCGATGCTGAAGACAGACATGGATCATCCACTACTAAGCCTTTCCTGTCCCAATTTCAACCTCGATGTATGTTGCAGTTTTCAATCACTGTGTTCCCACCCCATGTAGACAGAGGGTCTGTCTACCCCTGTAGAAAAAGGGTAGATGAACCCCTGTGTCTACGTGTGTCTACACCATGTAGATACAGCTTGTCTACACCTGTCTACATAGTTCTACATTGGTTCACTCACGTAGACCGATGTAAATGCACATAGACACAGGTAGCCACACATAGGCACATGTAGACACATGTACTCTACCTTGCCAAGGATGGCCAAATCCACATTCCGAGGTCAATGGGTCTATGTGCATGTACGCTGTAGACCTACGTAGACCCACGTAAACACAGGTAGCCGACGGGTCGATGCGGTGCATCTACCCCATGTAAACTCGCCTAGACACACATCAGATAAGGTCGCCAAAAGGTGGCATAGATCATGACGTAGATGGAGGTAGCCAAATGTAGCCGAAGATCGCTGCATATCACCACATGTCAGACAACGTCGACACACGTGTGTCTACAGGGGGTGGGAACACAGTGAATGGCCTGAAAAGAAAAAATCAGTTTTCAGCTAACTTGAGTCAGGAATGGTTAGGCCTGATTCGACCAGGCTTCTTCCGCTGAATACCAAAGACGTGAGCTGATATCAGAAACAGACGCGGACCACCCGCCACTGGGCCTTTCTTCCCCGGATTTCGGCTTGAATACCCCCACCATCTTGCCGTCATCCGTGAGATTCAATTCACTGACAACTTCAATCAAATGCAAATTAAAGGAACATAGGGGATAATTCTAATGAGAAACCCGGTTTCTGCAGAGTTGGTTACAAACTGCCTCTGTCGGTTTTCCAAATTGGGAAAGCGGTGCTCGGCGAGGTTTCGGCCAAGCCAAACCTGACGTGCCGAAGCATTGTGAAAATGAGAAGTCCACAGAAGCATATGAATATATGAATACACACCTAGGAATACAAAGCTACGGAAGTTATACAAATAATAAGAATACAAAGCTACAAGATGTATACAAAGGTACTGGTTGTACTGGGGAGGGACATAAAATAGGAATTGTGCACTGTCCCATTTGCAGAAGTGCGATGAGTAGCCTGTACCTCAGCGCTAGAGGACAGTACTGAGGTATAGTTGAGACTCTTCGGCTGTCGTGCATGGGGGCGGGGAGTTGGAAGTGCTGTCGCAGGCAGCATTGTGGGTGTTGTCTGCACTGTGGCTGCCATTGTGGTAACAGGTGGTGCAGTCACACAAAGCGGCAGGGCATCAGCAGCAGTGTGGGTATATGTGGTGGGAGGTGTGGTAGCAGGTGGGGGCTGCATGCAGGGTGGAGAATCAATGGTGAAGGAGGAGAGGGTGGGTGCTTGTTTGGTGTGCACCTCAGCACTGCTTCAGGTTTCAAGCTCCGCTGAGAAGCTGTCGGCAGGTGGCAGTGCCATTCCTAAAAAGGTTCAGGGGCAGAGGTGGTTTGCATCTAGTCTCAGTGCACAGCCTCTCCCAACATCCCAATCTGGGAACCCTGTCGTGAGAGTCTAGGCTACAACCGAACAATTATCCGGACCATTTCTCTATCTCCCTCTTGCATCAATTCTATCCAACATTCTACGCGGACTCTACGGTAGAATTTTTCCCAACAGATCCAATGCTCTCGCTCTATCAAACTATTCCCACAATATGTAGCACTTGCATTTTGTATTCCACAATAACTACTGGCTCTAAATACCCGAGAAAATTCAGAGAGTGAGGCAAGTGCATGGACAGCCCCTGTAAGCTCAGCACTGGTATTTCTTGGCAGGAAACGTGAAAGATCAGCACACCTTCCATTCCATACACTAAATTCTGCCAATGGTGTTCAAACAACTTTCAATAGATGTTACTTCATGTTGGGATTCAGCCTGTCAAGGCCACATAGGTGGACGATGTGGAAGACACGTGGCACTGATGTCTCAAATGCATAGCCATAGAGCTGGACTCATGGAAACACATCGAGACATGTCGGAGTGCGTAGCAACCACGCATCCAACTTACCAACCATTGTTACATCGAGTCAGGGAGTTCAAACTCTCCATTGTTTATCTGTTTATTGTACTACCTACCCACTGTCCCCATTGTTCTCTGGAAAGGTATAAATACTGCTGTAGACTTCGGTTGAATATACTGTTTTTCCCCTCTCCATTTTTCTACACTTCAATATGGAAGCCACAAGCATATTGTACAGTCCGAGTAAAACCTGGCCAGAGCCACAAACTCTAAGGTGGCCCACTAGCTGATTGCCAATAGTAAGATTTTGTATAAATTTGAGACCTCTTGGATAGGAAATGCTGCACATCTCAGCACTTTGCACTGAATGCCATCAGGTGCAGACATGCACATTCTAGGCTCTGTCGTAGATAGTGCACCCAAAGATCACGCGACGCTCATCAGCTACCAATAAATTAAAGTTGTGTGGTACATCCTACATCTTAACTAAACCACTACATAAATTTCATTCTTATGACGGCAATGCATCCAGCATTCGTACTTTCACCAACCCTGCACTACATAAATTGTAATCAGTTGGATCCTCAACCTGTTCAAAGATTTCTGATAATTCAGGGTGATACCTCGTATATTAAGCAGATGCCTCGTATCACATTGTACCTGTTTGTACTGCCGAATTTACCCCATTCTGGATCTCAGCTGACCCACTGCACCAGAAATTAACTTAGACGCCCTGGCGCTTGCTACATTTGAGCTCCCCGATCAGCACTCAAGCTCCGCTCAAAAGGCAGGTTCTCTGTTGCATCGCTTCTTTACTTCCACCCCCATCATCACTGCCTTTCCAATGCTCCATTGCCGTTCATTTTCGCGTGCCCACCCCTTGCGAGTAGTAATGCAACATGCAATGATTCAAGCACTCAATCTCTGGATGATTATGCTCTAGACCTCCAAAGAATTATGCGGACCTCGAAAGCACTGCGAACCTTGCGCATCTACCTCTTGGGTTTGAATACTCGCATCAAGTTCTCTGCCATCCTTAGAATATTTACCCACAAACCGTTCTATTACTTTGCCGGGCAAACTCGCAAGTTCCGCAACCTCTCCAAGATGTTCCGTATAACGCAGTCAAGGAGCCTCAGGCCACCACTCCCCAAGCTCCCCTATCGGTCAAGCCTTCGAATGCCATATCTCCGCGATTCAACTTCGGATTGCCACGTCCATTCCTGTATCATTGCCTACTCAGTCCCGCCGTCGTCTCAAACTGCTCTCGCGATACGCCGAACAAGACAACACTTTGTTCTTCTCTCTCATGGAGGGCGACCCCACGAGCGGGCTACTCAGGTTCATTGACATCTTGACGCTATTCTTCGCGCCCGAGACGATGCTCCTGGAGGGGCAGTTCTTCCACACGCTGGCGAGGCTGATTGGGGGGCGCGTGGCAAGGCTGAGCACGTGCGGGATCACGGCGATCGTGACTCAAGATGGAGCTTTGCAAGGAGCGGGTGCGGAGGGACGTCGTATGATGTGCGTTTCTGTTATTTTTCCTCCCGCGTCTATGCATTGACACCCGTCAGAAATACCAGGTATCTGCGGAGCAGGTGAACGAAGGGCTGGTGGATGTCTTCGACGAGAAAGAACGGTATGTGCGGCCGCCGCTATCCTGCTCCCTCTCGTTTCCCTGACCCCACCTTGGCTGCATCTGTTGTAATATTGACCTCGGTATCCAGTCTTGATGACGCATGAGTTGGTTGGGGCTGTGTTTGTTTGACCGGGTCATGTATTATTCAAAGCCTGTAGCCGATCTCTTCAGTCTGAAGAGAACGGTTACAGGCACCTCAGGCTACCCTTTTTGGGAACCCTTAGGGTCAATTCTTTTCCTAGAGTTAAATGACCCTAGCGGTACCTAATTTCATGGTCCAGCCCACTGCCGGTGGGGCAGCCCACATTTTGGGTGGGGCAGCCCACTTTTTGCAAAAAGTGGATGTGGGC